AGTAAAACCATTCAGTAATATTTAGTACATTCAAAATGTTGAGGAATCATTACATTTGTCTAGTTCCAGAACATTTTCCTCAGCCCAGAAGGAAATGCTTAACCCATTAAGCGGTTCCTTCCTATCACCTACTTCTATGCTTTATAAACCTTTAATTTTAATGTTATCACATACACATGCATGCTTGCTATACACACACATTCATTTATGTTTATTTATAGATTAGGAAGTTCCAGACAGAGGACCTAATATTTCCTAATTATGTAAACAAATAACTATCTAATTTAATGGATGTTTCTCCACCAGTAAAAAAGAAAAATAGGAAACATTCCTTGCTTCTTTTAACCTTTCTGTATGTTTCTCTTAAATTCTCACTAGATACTAATTTATCAACAAAGACAAAAAAGACAGAAATCAATTCTGAGCCTTTTGTTGTGTTAAACTGCTGCTTTTCTTGTAAAGACATTTTCTCTTTAATTTCATCAACACTGAAATTTTTAAACTACTTCTTTTAATTTTAAGCAATCATCTATCTGGGTTTTACATTTCTATTTTTGAAAATCCAAAATTATTGAACAAAGTAGTTAACAAACTTTACATTTCTTGGAAAGAAATATCAAAGGGTCATTCTTACTATAACTATTATTGTTAAAGAAATTGCTGTTGTTCACATTTATTTATGCCCTCCTCTTTCCCAAAGAATATTTGAGGTACCCAGTAGCACATTTTTTAAATTGTGAAAAAATTAGATCAAATTTTTAAAAATACCTAAAATTTAAATATTTAGAGAAAGCTAACTCAATTATATTTTGAGTATGCCTGAAGTCATGAACTAATTATTGTTGATGACTTATTCTTCTGGTCCTATTTCAGGAATATTATTGCCTTTCTTAATTAATATTTCACCTCCTTTAAGAAGTGTTTTTGAATAACCCTATAGGATAACTTTCCTTACATTTCTTTAGCACATATGGTTTGTACAAAAGACTACTCGCTTTAACACGTTTTCTAGTTGCTGTTGTACATCATAAATCTCCCAACTAGCTCCTAGGGAAAATTCTGCCCTTCCAATTTTTCGTTTTGTATGTAATTTACCAAAGCACCTAACCCTGTTGCTAGCTAGAAGCTCTGCTCTGAGTTAAATTAGTGAAATATTGCTGGTTGATTTCACCTAAAAGTTTGCTTTGGGCATGAGGGGAGGGGGTGGGCATTTGAATGGATAACAGATAGAGAAGCAGCTGATTGGACGTGGATGTTGACAACTTGCATACTTATTTTTTTCATTTCAATCTGTGCCACAGAGTCATACATTTGGTAATTATTTCATGCTTTTGTTTGCAGTTGAAAGTAGTTAGGGCCGTATGTTTTGACAGAAAAAAGATAATTCGTACTTTTTTTCAGCTTTGTGAAAGGGAAGATGGGGTAACAATTTTACAGTGTACCATGCCAGTGATTCCTGTTCAAAACTTTACCAGATTGGAAACTCACTGTTCATAACAATTCTCTTGGTAAGCGGCAGATGAAGGCATCTGTTTAAAGCACCCAGAGTTAAGTTTGATGCTTCAAAGCACAGCAGAGTTCATTTATAGCTCTACTTAACACTAGTAGGTATCTTTTAGAAATACGAAAAGTTGTCCACCAGATTCCTTAGACTGTAGGTGATTTGGAAGGATATTCTGGTCAAATGCTAACTTCTGACCCAGGATTTAGAGTGAAAAGACCTAGTTTATATCCCCGTTCCTACCCTTATTCAGTCACGTGAGTCACGGAAAAGGAAGGCACTTAACCCACTCCAAGCTCTCCAAGCTTCTGTTGCCGAATGTATAAGATAGGTGGCATGGTTGACCACTTGGATAGATAATCCATCTCAAAATGATGATCAAATATGATGATGGATGAAAAAAAGTCTTTTTGATTGAAAATACTATGAAGATAGGAACTTTAAATAATGGTTAGTGATAGAATTTTGTCATTTCCTTTATGTAATTAACTTCGAGATCGAAGAATATATTTAGAGAAGTACCTATGTATTTTCTTTTGTGAATTGTTTCTTTGAGTATTCTTTTTCTTTTTTTTTTAATGCTTGTTAGAATCTTGGTCTCACTGTCTTTTCATTCTTGCTTGGGTATCGACTCTTCAAAGTGTGACTTTCTGCTTGTGTCTGACGCAACTTTCTCCTTGATCACTCTTGCTTTCTGGGAAGGAATAGGTACAGGTACTTAGGAATGATGGCTTTCTGGCTGTCTGTGCTTATTAGGTACAAACACAGCATTAAAGACATTTGGGACTGGAGAGTGCCTTTAGGGTTGTATGCAAAAGGTTAAACTATAACATAGTTAGCATTTTTCTTTGTGCTGCTTTCCCTTCTTGTTACCCCCTCTTAGAATTCTCACACCTCTGCTTTCCAAAAATGCTTTCTAAAAATTGATTATTGGGAAAAGATCTGAAACCTCATTGCATTGAAGGGCAATAACTGGTAACAAACTGTGACAGCATTTTTAAAGACAGGGAGTGGTTGGAGATGTGATGAAAAGTGTGTTTGTAACTGTGGAAACTCTTTCAGGAATGGAGGCTTTTACCCCTCATGATAATGTACCTTGACAAAAGTCTGCAACAATGAAATTAATTTGTTCACTCCAATCGTATCTAAACGTATTTGGGCTTACGTCCTTTCTTAAGGATGTTAGCTCTAGGCTTCCGGCATCAACCTGTGGACTGAAGTTTCAAAGGGAAAAGGGTGGGGGAATGGTGCTCTTAAAATCCTTAGGACCATTATAGGTAATTCCATGTCCTAAAGAAAGCTCAGCCCTAAACATGTTAGAGAAGTGGAATGCAGTAAAATCGATTTTGGCAGAACCAATGAATGTTTATCTTTCTCTGTGCTATGATGTTATTCTTAGTTTGATGTGTGTCTTGTGTGTGGCATGTTTATTCATTCTTGCATACATGCACTTAGTAAAAATTTGAGCCTGTTCTGTGCCAGGCATTACATGCACACACACATTTGCCCAAGCACACCTGCACATTTTTTTTTTGTAATGCTCTTTTTAATGTTATTGTTTCTGCAATCGGCTATCCTTAGCAGGCCTTCTTAGTGTACAATAGGGTATAGAGGAAACAACAATGAACATTGGAGTAAACCTAAATTTAATTTCTGTCTTTATTGCAGAGTCATAGAATTTGTTTTCATCTGGAAGACTTGCTGCCCTAATTTAATTGATAAAACGGTGCTTTCAGAGGTCGCAAAACTATTTTTTGGCAGATAACGAAACCTATTTTGATGTTCCAACACCTCTTAATGAAGCAGTAGTCATCATCTAAAACAAAAATCAGTTGGTTGCTAAAGGGGGAGATCGTGTTGAGATGGGAGATGATCTGTTAGGCATAATTGACAATCATGAATTTGATATGATAGATGTAAACAGAGATATAAATAATTTAGTCACATCTGTTTAAGATTTAAGATAACCAGAAGCAATAATGGTTAATTGAAATAATACAGCAGGTTCTCCTTAACATTACCTTGAATTTCTTCTCATGTGCATTTGGTAAATACAAGTTTGGAAACAACTTAGTTAGGTGTTTAGAACATATTAGAGTTGTGATATGCTTAGCATCCCAGTCTTTTATCTGTGCCAATCCTGAGCCCGGTAATGAAGCCAACTCCCACATGAATAAGTAACATAAGGAATGTAACCAGGAAGAAGTCAGGGTTTCACCTGGACCAAATTTTAAGCAATTAAGTGTTTCAAGTGTTATTTGGCCAGGTATAACTTAATCAGTTTAAGGCACTCTCAGCTAGGGCCAAGGTACTCATAATGTTGGCAGTGAGCATTCCTCTGATATACTACATTGAAAGTAATAGGAAACATAGAGTGTCTGCTCAGTTATTGCCAAGAGCAAGAGAAATGCAGGTGTAAAAATAAAAAGAAGTATTTGGAGCCAGAGGCTAGTACACATAGAGAAGACTGTATTTACACTTCACTTTCATACTTGAGATAATAATATGGTGGGTTTTACTCAGTTTGGTGCACTAGTATTTAGTCATGGGTCTGGTTTCACCACTAAGCCCTAGTGTAACTCTCAGCCGATTACTTAACCTCTCTCCATCTCTAGTAGTATTAAACAAGTCTATTAATACCTGCTGCATCTTAGCTCAACTTCATGTCTGGAAGACAGATGAATGGTCCTGCCTCTTGCAGTAACACACAAGAACCTCCTTTGTGCTGCCCTGAGATGGTCTTGCATTCTTCTCTATGGGCAAAACAGCACTAGGCTGCTAAATGGCTAGGCAGTATAGGGGACCTAGGACCCTACAAAGCTGGGTTTTGATAGGAGTCCATCAGCAGCCTGGAGAGAATTCTCGGTTATCAGGAGATAGTGTTATAGTAGTTAAAAACTCAAACTCTGAAACAAGAATACATGGTTTTGAATCTCAGTTTTGCCTGTTTATTAGCTGTGTGACTTTAAGCAAGTTACTTAACCTCTCTGTGCCTCAGATACCTTAGTTGTAATAGTGACTCAGCTGATATTTAGAAGCTGAGAAAATTATCTGATTTTTGTGATGGGATGTATAGATATTTATGTATATTTGAAGTGAATTGTGTTCTAAATATATTAACATGCTCAGGGAATTTCCTTTTGGGGAAATACGTATATTCTTTTTCATAGATTTTTTTGTGGTGCATCCGGGTAGAGGGAAGATGGGTCATCACTCAATGAGTAAAAATAAAATATGAATATCATACACATGAATGGGACATTTTTACACATTTTGATAGTTTTGAAATACTTTTTTTTTTCACATTACCAATAAAGTGAATCTGAGCAGTAAAACTCTTCTTACCATGTATTGTTTTGGTTACTTAGAACTACTTGGTTAGTTCTTTTAAATACTTGAACTGATTTAGATGGAGTAAAAAGTCACAATTTTAAAAGCTTACACCTGTGAAATGTTTCCGGTTATAAGAAATACCCTCCTATTTGTCAGCATACTGAAGGCATATATGTGTTATTTCTAAACACATTTCCTATTTATGTGATAACGGAGGTCGCACTTTAACCATCACTTGGACGTGAAGGAGTGTTCTTCCTCTGTTAGTAAATATTCCTTGACTTGACGATATTAAAAATATGTCAGGTGAATGAGCTTGAATCCTATGGTTTGGGTTGGGTTTTGATTGTTTGCACTCTTGGACTGTTCTGTCCTGTGCCTTTGAGTATGATTAACTGCCTTGATGCCTCACAGTCCATTAAGCAACTCTACTACTTGCATCTCAAGACTGATCTTTTATGCCATTTGACTTGCTTTAAGTTAGCAACTTAGAAGAGACTTTAGGAAGGAGAATGCCAAGAGAACTGGCAGAGAAGTCAGGAGCCTGGGCTCTGTCCAGGCCCTGGGGTAAGTCCTTTCACCTCTTCCTTTGACTCCCTTAAAAAATGAAGTTGAACTCATTTGAGCTTTAAAAAGATGATGCCAAGAGGCAAGACAGAGGGCAGCCGATGTGGAGGTAGCATGAAAGAAAAAGGAGTGTCTGTAAAAAATAATAATAATAAAAGTGCTAGAAAAGGATGTTGACAAATAATACTAAAAACTAGAAAGAATGTGGAATAGAGGGGCCCAATTATCAGTAATATAAAAACTACCGCAAAAAAAAAAAGCTAAAAATCTATTCAACTTTTATTGTCCATAAAAAGTGATCACACCATGTCTAACTGCAATTCCTTTGTCAAAAACACCAGAGGCCGAGGACCAAATTGCAGATTAAGGGTTTCTTCCTTTCGCTTCCTATATATCCAGAAACCTGGGATCATAGACACTCTTCCATGTGTCTACTGTGCAAGTTTGGCACAACTTGCAAGCATTTTGGCAGATGGTCAGAAAAAAACACTTAAAGGAATATGCAAGAGTACACAGGACTCTAAAAATAAGAAATAAAGCTAAGACCTCAGTGTTCCGCCATTCAATACAATCAACATTTATTGAACAGCAATTATATGCCAGGTAGCAGGGATACCTAGAACTTGCCTCTCCCACCTGCACTCCGGAAGAGTTCCTGCTTCCCCAGCCTCAGGGAATAGCAAGTCTTACCCATGGTAGGTTTACTGTGAGAGCTGTCCTGATAGCGAGGGACAAACATGGCCCAGTGCCTTCCTCATGGATGAACTTGACTCTACACTGGGACTCCCCAGCACACCTTTTTGTGATGGTGGGAAAGTCCTATGTTGGTGATGTTCAGTATGGTAACCAGCGACTGCATGTGGCTGTTGAGAACTTGAAATATGGCTACGGTGACTGAGGGACAGAACATTCAATTTGATTTAACTTTTTATTAAGTTTAATTCAAATAACCATGTATTACTAATGGCTGCCAATTGGACAGCAGCTTTCTAGACCCATTGTTAAAAATAATTATAAGCAATGCGTACCTCTTATGAGTTAGAATTAGTAACCCCATTTATTGAGTGCCCATGACAGATTAAGAATTATGTTTGACGTACGTTATCCCTGATCCTGACAAGAATGGTCCCATTTGACAAATAAGGAAACTGAGGTTCTGAGAGATAAGGTGCGTTGTTATGTACTCAAAAGAAATTGTGAGAGCTGGAATTTGAACCTAATTGGTCTGACTCTAGAACTGGGTGATTTCTGGTATCCTACCAAACCTGTTTATGTAGTATCCAGAGGCTGTCTCTTCTGAGTGTATCTTCTCTTTGCTTTGTGGATTAGCTAGCAATGTCTTTATCTTGGTCACATAGAACAATTACAGGGTCCATCTGAACTCTTCTGAATGGGGACATATCACTGCCCTGGAACCATTCATTTTTCTTACTGAGAACTATGTCCTTCAAAAAATATTCTAAGAGTTGAGGGTCCAACCCAGCTTCCTGAGTAGTAAGCTAATCACCTACAAGTATATTTCCCCAGTAGATGCTGAGAAGCATCAAAGCACATGGGTAGTTCTGTGGACGTCAGTGACACACAGTTAACTCTTGGCATTTGAGTGTTTAACGGTCACAGGTGAGGACGTTTGTGAACTCTCCCAAGGTCTGAATTACTGAATGAGCCTTTAGTACTTGGGCATCTGTGGCACAATTCTGCTTTGCTGTTTTCTGCTTTCCATAAAGCATACGGTAACTCTCTTTAAGGGTCTGAAAGCCTCACTTACAATGTTTCAATGACTCTGAACTGATTTCTCTTTGGAAATGATATATTCAGATGGTACTTGCAGAATCACTAAGGGGTAGTAATGTGAAGGAGTAGTAAAGGCCTACTGGACAATCGGGTGCCTACCGCCCATCCACACATGGTGATGTGATACGAAGCCACTTTTCTTTATTCCCTCAGAGCTAAGGTTTCTCCTTCAGGAAGCAGCTTACTTAACATATACTTGATTTCACCATAACGTGTATTATGACATTTTATTTTCTTAAAAGGTTATTATCAGACCCTGCAAGACCGTTCCTCTAAACTATGACCAAAGTATAACCTCATGTTAATAGCTTAAAATAGCTTTTCTTTACTTTTCCCTTTAAAAGCAAATAATTATTTTTAATGGAAAGAACATAGACTTTGATGATCAGTTCACATCCTTGCTTTACCCCTTGAAACAAATGTGTAACATGCAAAGATAGCTTAACATTCCTGAGTCACATTTGTCCAAATAATAAAAACAATGGCAGCAAGACTTCATCACTAATGCCTGATGTTTTTGTATGATTAATCTGTGCCAGGTTCCATTCTAGTTTCTTTACACATATTAGACCATCGACTTCTTGCAAGAACATTGCGTAGCAGGCATGGTCATTTCCACTTTACAGGCGGGAATCTGAAGACCTGAATTAAAAATAACCAGTCCAAGATTGCCTAGTTAATAAATGGTGGAACTCGCAGTCAGACACAAGCTGGGCTGGGGTAATACAGTTGACTTTCGTAGGATACATCAGCCTTGTGAAATAAGAATGATAGTATTAATAATATCCACCTTGTGTGATCATTATGAAAGTTAGATATAATGTATGTGGAACTCCCACCAGCAAAGTTGTTCCACAAGAGGCTTTAAACAAATGGTGGTCATTATTAATTTAAAATGTCCGCAATTGAAACTGATACGCCAAGGCCAGTAAAAAATGAGAGCTTCATAAGGAAAAAAGTAGGAGGCATACCTTTGTTTCATTTTGTTTGTTGATTTCTGTGCCTTCTTGGTATTCTTTTCTGTTGGGCACAGGTTTTATTTAGAAGAAATTAAATTGTTTTTTCTTTGAGTGCAGAAAGAATAGTTGGACACACTGAATGGGATAGCTGATGTACTATAGTAATACTTCTCAGATTATCCCCCCCACCCAAAAATTCTGTAAAATGAAAACTTTTTTTTAACTTTCATCAGTTCAAGGTTTAGTGTTATCTAGAGAGCTTTGTTAAACTCAGGATTTCTATATGTATGACTTTCTCATAAATGCAGAATTATAAGAAAAGAGATAATGGCGCTAAGTTTGCATATTAAATATACTGTGTTACTAGTTTTCCATGAAGGTTTTACTCAACAAATAATTTACTAGAAGAGCTGTGACCTCGGAGTTTGACCACGTCTTCCCATTTCCAATTTGGCAACAAAAGTTTCACACTTCTTTAATTACTCTTGTGGGAGAAATCAGAATGCCAATAGTCACCTTGATCTAAGCCTCTTATTGGAGAAAAATTCAAGGATAGATTTTGGATTTTCCTCATATTTCATAACTGGGGTCACTCCAATACATGGTACTAGAATTTGGGATTTTTATTTCATTTTAGATTAGACTGATTTTCCAGTGTTGGTCATTAAAAACAATTCGAACTCCTTGAAGAGATCTGGGATGGTTGTTATCCTATTAATTAAATGAAGCTATTTTATTAAACTTTCCATATACTTAGAATAATAATACTGAAAGCTGAATGGAGATGAGCTTTTCTAATTGACTTTAGTGTCAATATTAAATACCTTATTGCAACCCATACTTTGAAGGCTTGACTGAGAAACTGACAAAAGAGCTAACTGAATAAAAATAATGAAGCAGTTCACTGGTTATTCAGGTTATGAAAGATTAAAACGTTAGACGTAAACTGAACTGTGAACATTATTATGATCATGGTGTTTTCATAAATACCATTTTATGTCTCCATCACCATTCTAAAAAAAAAAAGTACCCTGGCCATGCATGGTGGCTCATCCCTGTAAATCCCAGCACTTTGGGAGGCTGAGGTGGACGGATCACGAGGTCAAGAGATCAAGACTATCCTAGCTAACATGGTGAACTCCATCTCTACTAAAAATTAAAAAATTAGCTGGGCGTGGTGGCATATGACTTTAGTCTCAGCTACTCGGGAGGCTGAGGCAGGAGAATCGTTTGTACCCAGGAGGTGAGGCTGTAGTGAGCCGAAATCACGCCACTGCACTCCACTCCAGCTGAACAGCAAAGTGAGACTCCTTCTAAAAAATAAGTAACCTATCAAACAGTGAAAAATAAAAGTAGGTTGCTTTGACCATTTCATTATTGAGTTTTCTTATATTTGAAATGTGGGAGGTTGAACTAAAATTTGTTGGTTCCCTACTTTAAAAAAGAGTAGTTATATGTGATATTTATTTATTTATGTAAACTAAAATACAGAGATCTCTCCTTGAAAACAACTTTTAAGGTAAGAATGATAAAGTTGTTGGTTCCCTACTTTAAAAAAGAGTAGTTATATGTGATATTTATTTATTTATGTAAACGAAAATACAGAGATCTCTCCTTGAAAATAACTTTTAAGGTAAGAATGATAAAGTATCTAAATGGAAAATGAATAACATTGTTCCTGATTTTTAAATTATGATATAAAGAAAACGTATAAAATATGTAGAAATTGCCTATATAAAAAAACTAAAACAGGTCCATTCCTTATTAATAAAAAGTTTCATCTTACCTAAAAAGTCTTCAACTGGCTACAACAGGAGAAAACCAGAAATAGCATAAGTATCCTAAAAACTTACAGTCCCATAGATACTCTTCTCCATGCACCCAGTATTCATGAATTTGGAGTAAGTGACTTACTCTTACTTATATAAATACTCTCATATATTTGAGCTTGATTATAATTCATAGTCAAAGTAGCCTTCTTGTTAATAACCAAAATTAACCAAAGATTTTTCCTTTTCCTTCAAAAGCAATGCCAAGTAATTATACCCTAATTGGGGGGAAAAAAGAGATAAACCTTATTGGTGTCATCAAATGATGTTGACATAATGATATATATGTTTAAGGATAATAGAATATCTAATTAAAATTAAAGTATATATTAAAATAATTGATTTCAATTATTTTAAAACATAAGGTGATTTCATAATATGGATCAGAGACTCTTTTCAGTTTTATAGTAAGTATGTATTGATTTCTGAAATTTGGGGATATTCCAAAGTACCCTTAGCTTAATACTGAGGCCAGATTGCGATCAGGCTAATAGCACGTAGATATGTTACAGTCATACTACAATCATTTTGTCAGTTTTCAGTTTCCCCTTTTCTAGGTGATGTTTCGAAATTTCGTCTTGTTACACTCAAGACCTTCTGTAAATATCTTTAGTAGTAACTCCCAAACTGTTAGTTAATAGTTCTCAAGAAAATTCTGAGATTTGGTTGACAGAAATTAGATTATTGGTTTGTTTTTAAATTCCTAACCAAAGTTTTATTCTTTCATTCTTTGTTCCTTAAAAACACTCAAAAACTGTTTTTTTTTTTTCTTCTTATAAGCTCTGTGGTAATATAAGCAAATTGCTGTGCATACATTTAAAATGCGATAAAAATTACAAAATAAAGTCCAATGAAATATAGGGCTTATAACCATTAGTGCCTTAAGAAAAATCCCTGTTTTCTAAAGTGCGCGTGGGCTTTTCTGGTTTGTTTTTGTTTTGTTAAAGCTCCAGGACCTCCCGATTTTCAAGGGTACTTTGGGGCATGTGTAGTGTTTATTTGATGTATGGACAAAGATGCATATTTTCCCACATCTGTCTCTGTGGACCTATCATTTGTGAAATCCTAAACCTTGTATTAATGTTTAGTTTATGAATCATGGTGTTCTGAGAGCAATTATATAATTTTTCTTGAGGTGTTTATTCGATGTGCACTGTAAAAAAAATGAGAGTTATTTTTTCGTAACCCTGTACTTGCCTTTTTATTGGTGAATTTCTTTTCCTTTTACTGTGACCTGTGAATATCACTGTAGGCTCACTGCCAATTTTGTGAGCCGCTGCCTGCTTCAAAATGGAGGCAGGAAGGTATCCATTTTCATCAAGAGGATGACAGTGTTTCAGTCTTTCTGACCATCTGGAGAGAGGAACTTTGAGAGCAAAAGAAAATAGGGATTAAAAAAAAATTATATTTAGCAGAAAAGGCAAGAGGGAAAACTAATTAAACTATACCTGATGAATTTGTGCTTTTCTACTATGCTGTCCTGTTTAAAGAAAACATAAACAAGAAAATACACAGGCTATTTTTATAAAGAATTGATTTCCCATGTCTCATGAGTATTAGTAAACGAATGTAAGTAAATTAGGTTTTTGGCACACTTTATAAGTTTATTGTACACACAAATAAAATAAGCACAAAAAAGGAGAGCTCCCTCCTCCTGCTTCCTATGCACATGCTGATTGTTGGTGGTCTTATGTTGAGCCAGGCTTTTAATGGCCTTTTTCATGCATCTCTGCAAAAAGCTGACACTGGGAATTTAATATTCTAAGATATATTTATCACTTTCTGTGATTTGGATAGTTCATTTGTGTTCTCTTCCCTCTCCTTCTGTCTCTCTCTCTCTCCACCTCCTCTCTGTAAAAGTGAAAATTTTAATTGAAAGGTAGAGTTTTTACTCTACCATTTGAAAGAGGTTTGATGCATGTCTTTCTGTTTTTACTTTTCACATGCTCATGGGCCATCTGTGTTTAGAAGAAAAAGAAAGAAGGGCTTAGACTCACAGGATTACCCTATGGGTATTATGTAGTGTATTTACAACTAGACATGGTTTTCATCGACTGGAATATAACACACCTGGTTGTTTTTTATTCATACATACACTGAGCTTTTGTTTTGTTTTGTTTTAGTGTGTTTGGAAAGGGCACTGTTTCTAGGGTTTGTTCAGATTTAAACTGGGAAGGGCAGAAATGTAGCACTTTCTGCCGACGTCTTACAAAAGAATGGAGTTTTGAGATGCTTTGGTCAATGCAAAAAGCAAAACTCAGTTGGTTCTTTCTCCTCAGGTCTATGCTCCATCAGCAAGCACTGCCGACTACAATAGGGACTCACCAGGCTATCCTTCCTCCAAACCAACAACCAGCACTTTCCCTAGCTCCTTCTTCATGCAAGGTAAGATGCTGCTGCTTCTGAGGGAAAGGCCACTGGATAGCGTTTCCCTGGGTCACTTCATGTCACAGATGGGGCAAAAGAAATAGAATAGCAGGCAAGCGTAGAATTTTTGAAGTCATGCTCTTCTTAGGTACGGAATTCCATAAAAATTAATGTTTTGATTAAAAGTGTACTAAGCCTTTCTTTTCAATTGAACCCCTTTGAGCAATAATGTCTTCCACGCACCGCAAGACCAACCAACCGTTTCAGCATCTTCACCATCCCCGAGACAATGTAGCTTTTTGTTTCAAAGTGGTTCAACTCCATGTATGTTTTGAACATCCTGGATTTAGCCAACAGGGAACAAGTTGCCGTAATTTATAACCTTATATAAAATTTTCATCCACTTACTTATTTGTAGGTAGGAACAAGGGTCCAATATGAAGTAACAAAACCTCAGACTGGAATATTAAATGTCGAAAGCTCTGTCCCAACAAAGTAACTGGCTTAGGATAAAACACACAGCTTTCTGGGGAGAAGACAAATACAGAAAATCACAGCTCTGTGGTAGATAAAGTATATTTGCTCTTTTAATCGTCTAGTAGGTTTAAATACATGGATGTGTGCCCCCCACCCTGAGCTTGTAGTCCTCCCGACTGGTAGCATACAACTTTCTGCTGCTCAAAAAAAGACCAAGACATTTAAAATATCAGCTACTTTAAGAATGGACCACTTGGAGGATGCCTCTAAGGGCTCCGCCCTGGTATGCCTGTGGCACTTATTTTCTAATGTAATTATCTTGTTACCAAGTTAATGCCCTGAATTTAGATGTGGAATTTACCAAGAACCCCTTTGTGGAAAACTTTAACTCTTTTTGCCCCAGTGTGAAGTCCTTATTTGCATAAGCCTTGTCTACAGGCCATGAGTTTTCTTTCTTTCTTCACTTCTAGGAAGGGCCATGTCACAGGAAGGGGGGCACACTTGGGGCAAAGAGTACCAGGGAAGCAGCCTGGTGTCTTGCTCAGATCATAGTTAAACACACTCAAAATCATTCTCATTAAAAGATATTAATCTTCCTTCCCTTTGGTGTGTTAGCTCTTTTAGTTTGTTAGTTCACATGTGAAATTTCATGGAAATCTATAAAATTAGGTGGAATGGCTCTCTTAGGAATAGAGAGAATTTGTCCCATGCATAATAGAGCTCGTGTGTCAGGAGTCCTTTATCTGTGTGACCCGTCCTGGGTGTAACTCTCAAAGGGACACAGCAGGCTATGTCACCTGGGTGTGTTTTGTGCCATGACAAAAAGCTTATCACCTTCAGCTCTAAACAGTAGCTCCCTCAGCATCACTCCCCTCTTTTGTGAGCATGGGAGAGATTGTCCTACATGTGCTTACAGAGGTTGGCAACTCAAGGATCCATCACTCAAAACAGATTGCAATTGAGAAAATTGATGGAAGGATACATTTCTTCTATCTGCCCAGGAAAATGGCTTTCTAGAAGGGTGAACGTTGCAGGGGAGGCCAGGTAGATGAAATCAGTAGGCTCCTTTCCCTAGCAGACCACACAAAACATGGAGAAAAAATTTGTTCGTCTGCATATGCATACCCAAAAAGCAAAAAAAAAAAAAAAATTGACTTGACATTTATGATGAGCACAATTAATTTGCACACGTCTAATTCTATTCTTTCAAAACAACATTATGCCAAGATCATGGGATGTGATAAATATTAATTTACTGTGAAAAGCATAATTTATGTAAAATATGTATTTTTATAAGTCTGCACGGAGCAGAGTATTCTGTGTTAACAATCCTAAATGCATTGCCACCGAGTGTATCACATTGTCAGGAGACTCTTGTTCAGTGATATATGTTTTCAATTTATTTGTCATATGTGCCATCTATTTAAAATGTTAGTGATCTTGAACTTCATATTTGAATATAAGGTGACATCTAAACCTCTGTAATCTAAGGACTCAAACTCAAATACATGAATGATAACTTTTGAAAAAAATCCTGTGTTTTTACATTATGACCACAGAAACAGTTACGTCATGGTTGTGTCTCAGCTCAGCTTCCCTTCAGTAGAGGGGTACTTGGTGCCCTGAGAACTCGACTTGCAGGAATATGCAATTAAGGTGAAAGATATTCCGAAACTGCCTGGGGCATATTTTAAACTCACTACTGTGGCCTCTTATTTTTAACTTTAATTTCCATCTTCTAGTTAAAACTCTGAAGTTGTCAAAATCACAGACATGATTTTGCTTGCATGGTTCCTTAAAGAGAGGAATCTACAGACTCTTCCCCCCTCCCGATCTGAAATGAGTCCAGTTCCAAAATTCAAACTTCTGGATTTAAGAACTCAGTGAAAAAGAGCTTCATGAAATACAGTGTCAGATTTAACGTTTCTATTGCCTGACTTTTTAATGGGCCTTTATTAAATAAAATGTTATGGTGAAAATAGTCTTATTTTCAAGGAAGCAATACCTGCTGTACAGTTAACAGCCAGCTGATGGCCTGGTATATACCTAGTAGTCAATACTTTTTGTTAAACTATTGAAAAAAAGGAAAAATGAATGAACTTAGCAGTAATATAGATCATCTTGTTCCTTAGGCTTGGGAAATCAAACCTAAACAGTAGCAATTGCTAATAATAACCTGTAGGCCAGTAGGCCCACAGAATGAAAAAAATCTGTAGGAACGTTTTTAATATGGTGTTAACAAAAGGTTATCCTCATATTAAAAGATACTTTATATAATTTTTATATAATTTAAACCTCTATAATTCATAAATCATTTTATAAAATCCAGAAGCTCTCAGAATTTTCTGTTATATCATAGCCACCCAGGATATGTACATACCCTTTGGATTGCTGCTGAAGGTTTAAGACAAGTTATATACCTGTATACCAAAAACTAAAAATAAAATAGCCTAAGAACTATATATTTGAGATACATCTTCTCTACATGCCATGTAATTCCAACTTTAATTCTATTATATATGTTACAAAAATGAAATTAAACATTTTCAACCTGGGATTTTTTTAAATTAGTATTTATTTCTTTATGTGCTTTTAAAACTTGTCAACTTTGTAGTGTCTCAAGTACTTTTCACCCCAAAGTTTAGGAACAATTTAACTTTTTAGTTGGCTTTCATAGAATAAAGGATTAGAAGACTTACAAGAAATACTTCCTTTAGCAGTAATTACCTTGCTGACTTGACATAATTCTTGGTAGAAATATACTCTGTTGTTCTCTACAGTTGAATATTTGTTGGACAATATAGAGCCACTTGGGAAGAAATGATGACTGTCTTCCGATGTAATCAGCTAACCAACACAAAGATGGATAACACGTCAGGCAGTCATTTTCAAGTATATGAAAAAACCCAATTCTGTAAGACAAGGCTGAATGCCTCAGAAAGTCATGGTTCTCTTTGTCCTTTACAGATGGCCATCACAACAGTGACCCTTGGAGCTCCTCCAGTGGGATGAATCAGCCTGGCTATGCAGGAATGTTGGGCAACTCTTCTCATATTCCACAGTCCAACAGCTACTGTAGCCTGCATCCACACGAACGTTTGGTAAGGCAGACGTACATGGTAATGGGAATGTCACAGCTACTTTATTAAGTCTTACCCTCTGTCTTCCCATGCATGTGGGACTCTGCACATAAGTGCAAAAATGGCACACATCCATTATTCCTACAGTTGTATTGTTTCTGTGATCAAAGACGTAACAGGATCAGATCACCTTTGGAAACCCTTCCAGAGTCTCTCTGGCATTGTTCTTTTGTTTATTGTGTTTTGTTCTGTGCCTTCTTTATCACAATGTCAGCTTTCTTAGGTACGTAAATACATACTTATTTAAGTTGCAGAATCTTAGCATGGCGGTTCCTGGTCATTTTTTGCTGGCTGTAGTTTCAAAGAATGTGCTGCAGAGGGCAGAGTGATGGTCAGTAGGTTACATACATCACTGAGGGGCATTTTGTTTCCCCTTGACTAGCTCGTATCAGCTCTGGCCTGTTGTGAAGTACCTAAAAGAAGGAGTTTTTGTATTTTCTATGGACTTCCATCAGTAAGAGAAACCATGAGTTTTCTACATGGATCAGATTCCCATTTTTTAGTACTTTAACTTTAATTCCCATCCTAGCCTGCCACTCACACTCAGTTTTCCTCACTCCAGGTGAAAACTGCTGGGCTCTAGAGTGTTATGTCTTTCATTACTAAGCATTTCCACTCTGTCCATCACCTACATTAATCTATTCTAGCATGTCTCTTTATCTTGGAGGAAACAATTCAGGTGACTTTTTCAATCCTTAAATACCACCATAGCCCAGAGTCTGCTGTTGAACTTAAAGTTTGTCATTAAACGGAGGAAAGAGCCTAGATTTTAAGTTAGGTTTGGGATGCAGATAAGATGAAATTTGAGTCCCTTGTGCAATAACGTAGTCTAAAAAATGTGTGAACCTTAAATCCTACAAATGCAAAAGCATGTGAGAAATCGAGTGATCCTAGGTGATACCTGTACCACTGCTCTTCGTCTTGCATTTGCCCCTTTTTCTTCTCATATCCACATTTAGATGTCTTTCTCTGTTATGATAAAGGAAGTCATTCTGGATTTATGTGGTCTTTGGTCTCTTTTGCTCAAGCAGTACTGATAAAAAATAGGTATCTGATAACCTACTCCAATAATCAAAAAAATTCCAGAAGTTAAGATTTCCGATATCCTTGAAAATCCATATTTAGTTGGTCCTAGTGGTGGAGATGCTAAGTTGTCAGTTAGCCTATACATTCCTGAGAAGCGAACAGTAGAAATGGAATTGGCCTTTTTGTATCATCTCCCAAGATGGAACATGTAAATCACAAATTATCTCACATTTCAGCACATTTCAAGTAAATAGCAGATGACTTATTTTCAAATTTTCTCTTCACCCACCTCCTATTTGGAGATACTAGAGTGAAAGCTTAGAAAAATATCAACTGTATCCACTGTTATTATGCTAGAATTCCTTTTGGCTAACATTTTTATTTCTCCACCATCATTTTCCACTTCTTTAAAACCTTATGGTCAAAACTACATGTGTCCTATGAATAAGGAAAGTTTTGATTACAAATAAAAGCCTGGGGCACTATACCAGCATGTTGGGATTCCAGTTGTATTAAGAGTTGCCCACTTGATGTTGATTTTTCTTCCCTTCTGTGTTTCTTTCTTTTCCTGTCATGCTCAAGAGTTTTGAGTTAGGCAATTTGATTTTATCCTAGTCCACTTCATGCATGGGAAGTATCTTTGAAATGTGCTTCCATGCACAAAAAGTATAATTTCAAAAAGGGAACCAACTACATTTCTTTTAGAAAAAGTTTTGCAGAACCAAAACAATATTATCAACTAGGGAGAAAAGATCATTTTGAAGGATAACCCAATAGGCTATATCAGAAGCCATATTTGCAATGCCATTTATCTATCACAAAACACAGGATTTTCATTTTTCATCTGATCAGTTAACAGATTTCAGAGAGTATTTTTTTTCTTTTAAAGGGGACATGAATAGGCTATCTGGTAATGTATACTAATGATTTGTCTCACTGATAGTAAAGCTATTGAATTATTCTATCTAGTTGCCATTTTACTTTGAATATTTAGCCATCTGAAAATCTTTTTTTTTTTTTTTTGAGACGGAGTTTCGCTCTTGTTACCCAGGCTGGAGTGCAATGGCGCGATCTCGGCTCACCGCAACCTCCGCCTCCTGGGTTCAGGCAATTCTCCTGCCTCAGCCTCCTGAGTAGCTAGGATTACAGGCACACGCCACCATGCCCAGCTGATTTTTTGTATTTTTAGTAGAGACGGGGTTTCACCATGTTGACCAGGATGGTCTCGATCTCTTGACCTTGTGATCCACCCGCCTCGGCCTCCCAAAATGCTGGGATTACAGGCTTGAGCCACCGCGCCCGGCCTGAAAATCTTTTACTGAAGTGTCTTAGAAGAATCTGACACTGAGAATACTTTGAATATATAGTAGCAGTTGGTGTCCTTTCACTTGAAAATAATGGTAGTTCCTTATAATTTCATTCTTAGCATCTGGCTAGTCCCGTATTGAACAAAGGGATAGTTTAGAAAAAGCAAAGTGCTGTTCCTGGATTATTTGGGGTATAATTTGATAAGCCAAGTTGATATTATCTCTAAAGATAAAACATTTTAAAAACATCATTGCCTTCATCACTTTATACCATGTTATAATAGAATGTGTAATTAAAAAGCCTAAGATCCACATATTTCAGTAGCGACTGTCAAGTTACCGATGTTTAGTCTCTAAATCCCCTTTACAGTTTTCTCCTGTCCAACAGAATCCCACAGCTAATCATTACTGTGTTACAGATACACACACAAAATCATTCAGATGAATGGAGTTTGTGGTTAAGCTTTGGAATGGGTGGTTGTGGATGATTTATGTTTGGAATGACTTGGCAGAGTTCTTTGTAAGAACAGGATAGAGTCTTCGCTGTCTGGCATGATTTAGGCATGGTCTTTGCACTACAGGGCGAAAACAGTCCTAGGAGTCTGGGATTTTCCTTTAAAGGAAGTTCTGTTGTCTTTTATTTTTTGTAACATAAACCCTTACTTCAGTAATTCTCAACCGAAGGCAATTTTGCCCTTTGGGAAACATTTGGCAATGTCTGGGGACATTTTCATTGTTATAACTAGGGGCTGGCTGCTACTGGAATCCAGTGTGTAGAGGCTAGGGGTGCTGGTAAACATGACATCATGTACAGGAGAGGCTCCACAGCAAAAAATTACCTGGCACAAAAGATCAGTAGTGCCAAGGTTGTAAAATCCTGCCCAAACCCAAAGCATGATTTTATTCTTATTTATATGTACCAGCTATTATATTTTCTAATCTTTAAATAATCAACCAGTAGATGAATAAAAAATACCACTAATGGAAACATTTCCAACAGTTACTCTGTTAATAGACACTAAATACACTACTCTTGGGGATCATAAGTTAAAGTGAATGAATAGTGGGCATGTAAAGCCTCACACTTTGTCACACTCCTCTTATCCTTTGTAACAAAGAGGACAGGCAGTAACAGCTAGAGTAAGAGACTAAGAGGACCTCTTACAGTTGATCCCTAAATCCTCTAAAAGAGACATTATTCTCTGTCTTTATTACAGAGATGTATTTATTCCATCTCTGAATGATAGTAGTTTTCAAGATAGTTTTTAATGTAAAATAATCTACTTATAAATCTCATTAGTTTACTTCAGCATCTAATTTTCTGAGTCTCTAAAAATAACTGGTTTACATGGATTGCATTGGTTTCCACCTTTTAAATGTATGAGGATTAATTTTTCCTTTTACTCTTTGAACTCACCATTAACCCTTTGTCAAGTCCCAAATTACTGCCCGTTTTACATAAAAAGTTCCAAAAATTCTCACGGATGTGTTACCTGTTTTGTTCTTGATTATTGTAGTTAAATATTTTTTATAACTATTTTTCTCTTTTTTTGATTTTTGCACATTATGGACCAATTTGTAGTTCATCTGTTCTTCAGAAATTCCACATGGAATAGGATGGTGGAGAAGTCAAGTTAAACTTAGTCATCTGTATTTTTTCCCACATTCTGTTTCTTTTCCTCCCTTTTGTTATAGTGTTTACCTCTAGAGCAGAAATAGCTGTATCCCTGTTAAGCCTTCAGATTACCTGTGCTATGGAATGGGTCTACTGTATTATTCATTGGAGGAAATTCCGTGGACTACCTTGGGTATTCTTTAGGTGGCAAGTAGAAATGAGTTTTAACAGGTGGCCTAAGGAATTTTGGGGTCAAGGAAAGAAAGAGGTCCATGGAATTAAAAAATGTGAAAGGCATTCTCAAGAACTTGGAAAGATTTAAAGGGATCATCTCAACTTTTTTACTGAAGTCTTTTAAGTTGGGCTGTTTTGGGCTTCCAGAGGTAATATTTTCAAAAACATGCATGTGACATTGACAAATCTTACCTCTGATACGTAGATTCATTTTCTTAGACTATTTAGTTGGCTCTCAAAAAAGTTATACTTCAATCCACTGTTTGTTAAAGTCTAACTGATAACTGGTTGTTTATTGAGCATATAGTGTAATTATGTGTTCAATAGTTAGCCACAAGTTGTGGGATACAGAACTATAAGCTGTATTCCTTTAAAGAGTTTACAATAAAGGTGAAAATACACTAGAATGAGCAAGAAATGAAAGGCAAAGTATAATTGTTAAAGGGCATTGTGAAGAATGTAAGTGCGTTAGGCACCTGGAGAGAAGAGATTGTGGAAGTAGCCAGGGAATCTTCAAGAAAGAGGTAGAATTCAAGATGGATCTCACAGAGTAAATAGGGCAGTACTCAAGAGACTATGGTTTCATTCCTCGTGAACAAATGCTTGGGTTTTAAATACCTGTGACTATCAGCATTATATTCCATCTCTAATTTTGAAATAAACAATTTTAACAGCATTTCCAATAATGATATAATAAAGACTCATAGTCCATTCATGTATTACATATGAAGAAAAAGTGTATTTTAGCTTCAATACTTTGTCTTTACATAACACATTCAAATGCCTATGAGAATAACTTTTGAAGCTGCTTTTTATCTTGAAAATAGCTCAGCACGTTTTTGTAAATTACTATGTCCATTTTAGTGATCTGTTCATTCCCAAGCAGATGGGTGGATTGCAACTAATTTGCCACCTGACGGGCACTGTGACATACCCAAGAAATGTAGTTTACTTGGAAAACTAATATAATGATTAAACTCAAAGCAAAGTCTTAAACCAAATGATTGTGTGAAGATGTTCTTTCATTGCCAGCTATATGAGGAGTGCTTGTAGGTAGGACATGGAAAGAAAGGACTCAGACCAAAATAAATCATATGGTTCTAATTTAATTCAGTAGAGTCAATGGTTACATATTGATGAGTGAGAGAAATATTTAATCATTAGTGCTTTTTAAATTTTTTATTTACTAAATTTTATCGTTGCTGTGGTTCAGAAAGATAATTTAATTTGGGAGGAAGAAGATTTGAGACTGTTGACTCTTTGCCATCTAGTTTCAAGAAGGTCAGGATGAAATATAATATAAGCCCTGTGGGTCATAATGTTGTTTATTCATTATATAGTGGAATCGTTTTCACTTGATCAATAGGCCGTATAAACAATTAATGATAGAGTGGCCTTCTATGTTTCTGAAACGTTGGAGATGATTTTAAGCAGTAATTTGGTAGATTTCGAGATTGTGATCATTTCTCAGTGTCCCTCATTGCCATTATATTCCTCCACAGTGGATGCAAACTGAAGCTAACTATGTATCTGTATAACTTACTATTTGAAAAATGAAAGCTGTCAGATATAAGCAAGATATATTCTTGGCTGTTTTGAAATTCTAAAAGCTGTCTCCATTGTAAAATAGAGAGTTGTGAGAAAAGTATTTGAAAACTAACTAACTCAATACCTTATGATTAAATATGGCCACCTTTTTCTGCTTCTTGCTATAGAGCTATCCATCACACTCCTCAGCAGACATCAATTCCAGTCTTCCTCCGATGTCCACTTTCCATCGTAGTGGCACAAACCATTACAGCACCTCTTCCTGTACGCCTCCTGCCAACGGGACAGACAGTATCATGGGTGAGTCAAAGAAATGCCAATTCTGATACCGACAATCGGTGTCTGGGTTTAATCATCAAGGACCTCCTTTTTCCCCTTCATAAGTGAATAGCAATTAGGCAATAAATATTAGTCACATAACACACAAATGAGCCAAACAGAAATAAAACCACTGGCTTGAGCATAACCGCATTTTTGGTCACAAGATACTGAAATTTGGCTACATTGTCCATTGCAAATCATTAGATTGAACCAGGGTTCAAACAGACCAAAACTTCCTTGTTCCTCACACTCAAAAATAGTGAACAAAGTCATAAGATGAGCCATCATCTTACGGGCAGCTTACTAGTGAGCTACAAAGCAGAATAGCTCTTAATGATACTTACTGATCGCTTCCCAAATTCCAGTTACTGTGCTCGGCTCTTATCCGTGGTGTGCCACTGTCTTCCAAGGACTGGTTTATGTGAAAGTCTCAGGTGACTGTTAGTAACTACATGAGGTTAATCTTGTGGAGAATGACGCTGTGGAGTCCCTCAGAGGGGTAGAATTATCTGCTCAGTTATGAGAGAGGAGACGCCTGGGCATCAATTGGCCAGAAGTTATTTGCTGCTTTTTTTTTTTTTTTTTTAACTCCAAGGACATTTACTAATGAGTTAAGGTATAAGAAGAATGCTGCTCCCATAAACTGAGCCGTCATCCTCTCCTTTCTTCTGATGTTCACTGTAGTCTTTTCCCTGGGACAGGTGGTTCCCCAATCAGTACTCCCACGTGAGACACGAACTGGGTTGGATGTCCAGCTTCCCCTGGAGGGAAGAGTTGGAGTTGATGGGGAGATAGCCACTACCTTCTTCTGAACCAGCTTTGACAACCTTGTTGTTCAGATGAGCAGCACAGCTTAGTGCACCAGGGTCTTCTTAGAACTTCAGACTTCTCAGATGGTCACTTTCTGTGGTTCTAGCTCAAACTAACTCCTTGCTTGGCCTGAATGTCACTCTCAGAGCATCCATGGGGAGAATACTCAGTATATGTCTTTGAGAGAAAACTATGTGACAGAATAATGCTGCTGTTTAATCCTCTTAGCTCTTTGCACTTGTTTTCTTGAGAGAGTGTGTAGAATTTTGGGAAGTGGTGTGAATCACTTACGTAGGAACGTTTTTGATGAAGGAGAGATGTGTTTTGAAATGTTGGAAATATACTTTCTGCCTCAATAATGCCCTCCCTGCTTATTCAGTAATATATTTCACACTTGAGATGAGCCATCTCGCAGCATCTCCACTCCACTATCCTGTCTAAGAGGCAAGTAGAGGAGAGAGTTTCCATTTCTGTAACTCTAACCAAGCTTCTACAAATGCGTTGCATCAGTTTGACCTTGGAGAGCTACAGACAGAGGTCACATGGGGAAGTTTGTTAGCTATCAGTGCAGTTTTGGCAGATTTGAAAAACAAGAAGAAAGAAAGCAGTGCAGAACTGAAAGAGTGAGAAAAGCATATTTCACTTCAGTGTGGTTTGACAAATGGAAAGCCCCTTTCTGCAGTCATGAGGTCTGGTTATAAAGAAGGATGACCGGTCATTCATCCTTTTACATGACAGATTTCCTGTCTACTTGTGGTCTGAGTAATTTTCTTTTTTAGGAAGGTATGAAGGTGGAACAGAACCTCGAGTTGAGGAAAACATATTTAGGCGCTGTTTGAAAAAAAGTTTTTCTGATTGATTTGCAAAACAGTCCTCTTGAGAGAGTGGCACTATGACTTGGAAAGGACATATCAGGAAATGGGGTGGTTATCTCCATGAGTTGTAAACAGCTCAGCCACAGTTTTCAGTGGGAATGAGGTTTGCTTGGTTTTAGCTGATGGTCTTCATCATTAGTTTGTGGATGAACAGGAGAATCTACTTGTTGGTCTTGGTGGAGTGGAGCAATAGGTGACTTCGATATGCTAAGAATAGATTTAACTTGTTAAAAACCGCAGGTCCTTATTTAAGGGTCTTGACAATAATAAAGGAGCTATAATTTAAAAACAAAAGTATGAGATTTTTAGAACCCAGAAAAGGGCTTTTTAGAAATTTATCACATACATTATTTTATAATAATGGATGCACTTGTCAAAATCCATTAGCACAATGAGAAAAAGAGGCATATTTTTTCAGGAAATAGTTAGATATGGTAATTCAGCATTTTAGAGGAGCAAACCTTTATTGTTTTGCATGAATACAGATATTACTTTAAGGTTACTTTAAGAGAGAATATTCTAGAATGTTTTTCTTTAAAATTGCATGTTCACCAATTGCATACGTGAAAATGCAGAGGAAAATTTAAGCATGATAAGCCTTAGTGTTGCATGATGTTTGAGTGGCCCCCGTTTCTTCACACTTAAATTCTCTTAGTCTTTGGTTTGAATTTTTCAAGTGTGGTAGAAGTCAGTGATGGCAGCGTGTCTGTATAACAAGAGAAGCTTTCTCTTCTGATGTTAGTGATACTTCCCTAACAAACAGTATGGATTAATAGGATACATCTGCAGACTTTCAAAAATATTTGGCATATACTCACTCATTCTGAAATGCAGGAAATAAAGAAATATTACGTTGCCTGTATCTCAAAGAACAAACAGAGCTAATTAAATAATTGGTAAATAGGGAACACATAGCCTGACACATGTTTGAGATTACACTTGATTCTGTAGAAAATGACTGTAAGCAATACTAATGCCTTAAGAATGGGGTTCAAGCACTAACACATGGACATCACATTTTTCACGTTTTCTTGGTGAAAAGTTGCAAGACGGTGCCGTCTTTTCATACATGGTGTTGATGTCTTAGGAAGCTGCTTCTTCAGTTCAGAAGAGGGCTGCTGTCCTTCCTCCCAGTGTCATGTTATCACATGTCTTTCTGGTGGTCAGCAGTTATCCTGAACTGACACTAGACCAACGCAGTGCCTGTGGGGTGAGATACAAGCTCTAGAACTCTCAGAAGGTAACCTCTGTTACCACACTCCCTTTCTTCTTCTTCTGTCCTCTGCATCTCAAAGATGGAAGACCCCCACTGAGGTTTGCTGTTTATTTGGCTTGGGGGGAGTGACTGGGCGTTTCCTGCTTTGTTCTATTTTGCCCTATAATATCCCATATCATTTTTTGAGAAGTCCTTAAGAAGGATAAAGCTTACTCAGATTACATTAATGAGGGTTCTTATTTTATAATGACACATTCATCCATGGATTTTCAAGAGAATTGTAGAATAAGGTGTTTTATTCATTGCATATAGTCTAACTGCTTTTCTCAAGCCTTGCTGTGAAACTCTGGAGATCATATTAGACCTTTCTGAATTGAAAGGCTCATCTAATTTAGCCCTGGAATTAGGGGAATATAATGTATGAGACACAGCGTGGATTCATAGTGGTTCAGCTGGTGGAGCACCCAGTTAAGAAGAGTAGCTGTCGGGGTCTTTGGGAGTTATCAGCATCAGCATCCTCTACTCAGTTCTTCAAACTCTTTCAGTGTTATGCCATTGGGTATTCTCAGAAGCAGTGCAGTTCAGTGCTTCTGTATCTGAGCACACATACGGAGGAGGAAGTAAGTTATTAGATACCAGCCATAGAGAATAGGAATGTCTACAGGATTGTAACCATACACATTTGGCTAGCCACATATTTCCTTCCTATTTGCAATAATATCCAGTAGCCCTTTCTGATGGAAAGAAGTAAGAGGACTCCCTACCATAGCACAGACTACTGAGACTGCTCTAGGATGAGAATACTTTGTCTCCCCATTGGGAGACACCATCTGTATACATTCACAGGTGTGATCCTTTGTAGTTTAGGGCCACACACACTCCCTTATCCTCAGAGGTAAATGGTCCTATAACTAACATAATGGTTATAATGACTATTACTGTTTTATTAGTCTTTAACTGGCCTACTTTCTAATACATGGTCTTTCCCATGTTTTTAAACCTCAAACCAAACAGTGTTGAAGGAACAGGCTACCAAGATTGATTTAATACACCATATGCTAAAGATTACCCTGGAATATCTATCTGGTTCATGAATTAATCTGGCTTAGAACTTACACTTCTAATAACATGTTTGTGTGACATGTTAGTATGTGGCTTGTCTAGTAGAAACATTATGTCCTTTTCCCCTTGAGGACTTGGTTTCACAGTAATTTTATTATTAGAGTAGTCATATAATATGCACTTTATATTTTATAAGAATCTCAAGCCCTCAAATAGTCATGTGATGAACAAGCGCAGCGCATAAGGGTAATAGGAAGTTTATCCGTCAGTGTCAAGGCATCTTAGTTAGAAAGACCACCAACAGAGAACAATAAACTAGTTTGATTTAAGTCTTCTCCTCCGTTTCCTGTGCACAGTCAGGAAGCCCAGCTTCCGCCTGAATTCATAGGAATCTCTCCTGTTAAAAATTAGTGCATTGTAGTCTATATACTTGGGTTTTTATTTTACAATGGTTGTAGTAGCAGTGCTGGAAATGATCCCTCTTTTTATCAGCTTTATAGACAAGCCCATGGCGTTGTTATGCTGCTTCTAATGGTTTAATAACATGAGGGTCACTCGGACACAGTTTAGAAAAACCTATGTTGAAAGCAGTCATCTTCTCTCAAGCAAACACAGTGTGAATTGTGCTTCTTATTCCTTTGATGCCTTCGTGATGTTCCCAGCCTTAGATGGTGGGTGGGTGTTAAAGGGGCAACACATTTTCCAAATTCTGATTTTTAGTAGTTGATCCCAAGGCACCACTCATCCCAGTGTTTTGTTGAGGGTGTGTTCTAATGGGAATGAACATTCCCCCAAAAGCTGAGACCAGGACAGAGGGTGGTCTAACACATAGCCCAAGATACAAAACCCTTCTTTCTGCTTCATCTTCCAGGCAGCAACAGCACTTGTGTTCAAGCCATCTGAACAATACTTGGGTGGCAGGCAGTGTTGAAGCCTCCTACAAAATTACAGTTCCCCTTAGTAACTGCTCATCTTCCATTCATATTTGAATGTTACAGCTCTCCTTAGGGACTGATTATTTTTCTCTTAGGCAAGATAAATTGATTAGAGCCAAAATTAGAAATCGATAAAGTCTTTACCAAGCCAAATGCATTAGTTTTCATCTTTCTTTCTGTTACGTGGGCATTTTGATCATTTTCTAATATGAGTTGACAAAAATCTTGGGCCTCAAGGAGTAATCAAGTCCTGTTATGTTAAAGCTGAAAAGGAGGATATGATGTTACTTGCTAAACATGGCCCAATTCTCAATCCCCCCCCCAAAAAAAAATTATGCCACTTGAAAATTAAAATATATTTACTTTCCAGTTATGCCCTTGGTTATATCAGTCACACAAATAAAAAGAGAAATCTGTTAGAGAAGGACCCATGTAGCTTACCATGTTCAGGGAATCTAGAAAATGTAGCTTCTCCAGTGTTTCCTGGACCAGAACAAAAGGCATTCCAAGTGAAAGGGCAAACTGGCCCCAGTAAACTGCTTTGAAATTTAAGCCCTCGGGTTTGGCACTCCAGCTGTTGCAAGGTAAAATGGCTTCATGTTAAAAAATAGTCTGTTCTTATCAGTGGTTTCCATGAGTAGCCTTTGTAGTTTTCTGAAATATTTTCATGACAAGATGAGGTAAGAAGCTGATTCTATTTTTAATTCTATTTCCTGAGTCATAATATCTCCCTGTATAAAACAGGCACTGATAGAAAGTTTAGTTAGAGAGCTGTAGTACTAAAGAAATCAGAATGATCATAACTGGTCTCTTCTTGTGTGATTTTTAGGGCATATATGTTTAGGTTTTAAATGCTCCTAAAATATTTTTATTGGTTTTGAATACTTTGTTTAGTTTCATAAAAATATGTGTATTATTTATAATCTTCATTTTAAATTGTTTAAAGGACGAGTTAATCTTTTGAAAGCCACTACTGTAGCAGATATTATCTGTAATGAAACAATATCTTGTTCTTTTTTGGCTTAGGTTCTTTGTTAGATAATGTGATTTTTTCCAGTGTAGCTCTGAACTTTTTGTGAAAATCTATATTCAAATCAACCAGATAACACGAATCATTTTGACTGGTAGATCTAATTTTTAGGTATATAATAATGAAAAGAAATACCGTTTCTAGGGGGAAAAAAAGATGAGTGCCCCCCAAATACCATGGTAATGCATACTGAAAAAGGTTCGTGTCATCTGTATTTCACATCGTTATTATTTTCTCTTTAGAATTGTTTTTAGGGTTTTTCTTTTGTTTGTTTTTTTCCTTTGAGACAGAGTTTTGCTCTTGTTGCCCAGGCTGGAGTGCAATGGTGCTATCTCGATCCCGGCTCACTGCAACCTCTGCCTGCCGGGTTCAAGCAAATGTCCTACCTTAGCTGGGCATAGTGGCGCATGCCTGTAATCCCTGTTTTTAGTCTTTAAAGAACTTCTTAATGCAGAAATTCTTCTCATTTTCACACTAGATATACTTTGTTGTATTTTATCTTTGCTAAATATTTTTAATACGCTTGATATCTGAGTTGCTCCCACTGATCCATTTGTATGATGTCAGACCCTCATTTCAAAGAACTCACTTATACAGTTCCTATCATGAGTACTGATACCTCATGTATTTTTAATGTAACTTTGTGATAATGGAAAAGAGGCCTGTTTTGTCACAAGGTAATTGTGTTCTTTTTATCAGTTTTCTTTCAGTATTTTAGCAATTAACAAGTAAATATGGGTGTGGGTTTTGTGAACCACATAAAGCATATCTCGAAAGATTATCTGACTTGCCCAACATATAAACATATGAAAATAACAAGCATAGTTTAGCTATGCTAAGCAGAGGTCAGGAGGATTAAATGATGACCTGGAAAAGCCATAGAATTGGACCACTGAAGATCTGACCCCCCCCCCCCACTACTGCATTTTACAAGTCTGGAAGGTGATGACAACACATTTGTAAGAAAGAAGGCTCTCTTAGTTCAAGAATAGGGCTGGAAAGTCTTACAAATTATATACCTATTTAATGAAGTTTTGCTTGGATTCATTGGGTGATTTAAGCTTTCCTTTTCTTCTTTCACAAAATAGTGAAAACAAATCTTACCCCAGAACTCTAATAGGTTTTATTTAGATACTATGTCAATTTACTGATATTGAGGCCTTAATAAATGCAACATATCCCAAGTTCTAAGCATTCTGTTAATACTGAAGACCTCACAAGAATCCTGGAAATCCCATTCTATCACTTAAGTTACAAAGGCAAGATACCTTCAAACCATACGTATTAAAGGAAGCTGACTTTGAGATATATACTGGAATATATGTCTTTTATTATTCACAATACTCTTTGTTCTTCTCTTTTGTAGATAAAAATACCAGTGTTTAAGGCAGTCGAGATAAGCTTCATGAATATGTAGACTTATTTTATCTCTGGAATCTGAGACCATATCGACTTTTAGTAGCATAACAGTTCACTTTTTCTTAGTGTGAACACAGACTTTAAAATCTGTGGAGAATATATGTTGTTGAAAACGTTAAAAATATTTTCTCTCCTTGTTAGGCAGACCTGTTGTAGAAATATTTGTTTGTTTGATATACTGTGGAACTATGAGAAGAATACCTCTTTTTGCTATGTATAAAATTTCTATTTATTTGAAAACAGGTAGAAGTTATTTGTGAAGATAATTCCATGTGCTATAAAATAATATAAAGAAAAGACAGACTCTGAGGACTCCAGAGGCCTGAAAGTACCATAGACTTGTCAACAATGACCGTCACATAGTTTGCTACCATTCACCAGCTCATCAACAGCAAGGGGAAAGTCATAGCAAGGAAACCACTTTATCTTTAAACCAAGATGTCAGGTTTATATTTTATCTGTAAAAAAAGTAACATGAATATATTTGACATCTACCTCAGCAAACAAATTAATGCTAATTAAAGATTAATGTGTTGTAATTAGCATTAAAAATGCAATTAAATTGTGAGTAAATGGACCAGGAATAGAAAATTGTTAGACGTCTCACTGCCTGGTTTTCATATTCTGCCTTTTGTTTTTGCAGCAAATAGAGGAAGTGGGGCAGCCGGCAGCTCCCAGACTGGAGATGCTCTGGGGAAAGCACTTGCTTCGGTGAGGAAATATTGACTTTGGGCTCCATATGTACCATGGTAAAGGGTGAACTTTAATCAGAAGTGGACATTTGGAATTTTCGAAAATGAATGGCAAATAGCTTTGATTTTTGGAAAATGGTAGCTTTCTTGTATAACAGTCATTGGAAAATTTGAGAAGGATCTGAAGCTTCCCATATCTACATATAGTCTCTTCCATCTAATCTTCACCGTGGTACTAAACCACACTCAATTATGGATGTGGGAATATTCTCCTGATTTTAGGTTTATAGGTTTTTTTATACTGATGTCTTATTTTTCTCTAAAGTAATATGAGTGCTCAATGACCAGCTAAGACTGTCAGCAGGGAATAGTTGTAAAACACTTTGGAAGAGGCATTTGGAAAAAAATGACAATAACTGACGTCCACGAAGAAATGTCATGTAATTGGCACCTGGGGGACTCAGCTTCTCTGCTTTGCCCACCCACTGCCAGGAAGCTAAAATTGGACATTTCTTATATGTTCCCTGATGACAAAATGGCATACCTTCATTGTCTCGGAGAGTACATATGTGGTATTTTAGTCAAAAGCTAAACATGGTCATTTACAAATATTAAGTGGAGGGCCGGATGCTGTGGTTCACACCTGTAATCCCAGCACCTTGGAAGCCGAGGTGAATGGGTCACTTGAGGGCAGGAGTTTCAAGACCAGCCTGGCCACCGTAGGGAAACTCCATCTCTACTAAAAACACAAAAATTAGCTGGGCTGGGTGGCTCGTGCCTATAATCTCAGCTCCTCAGGAGGCTGAGGCAGGAGAATTGCTTGAACCCGAGAGGCAGAGGTTGCAGTGAGCTAAGATCATGCCACTGCACTCCAGCCTGGGTGACAGAGCAAGACTCCGTCGAATGAATGAATGAATGAATGAATGTAAGTGAAGATTTGCTTCTCTAAGATTTTGTCTCTTCAGTTAGCTTTTACCATTGGGAGCATTAAAAAAGTTCACACTCTGTTAGCATTGTGCCCTAAGTAAAAGTTTTTGTTTCATCTGGGCCTTCTAATGCTATGGAATCAAATGCCTTAATCTGGCAAAGGAGTGGCAAAATATCTTAAAAACGATCCTATCCAACTTCTCATTTTGTAGATGAGGAAAGTTCAGAGTATCTACTTGGCTGGCCCATAGCCACACAGCCAGTAAGAAGAAAAGTCGAATTGAAGTCCCCAGACCCCGGTCTGGCTCTTTTTCCTCCATCTCATACCACATCAGTTAATTCTTCTTTTGAAAAATTAAAATAATTGTTAAGTTTTTTATTTGACAATATTGGTACTGTAGTTGATTGTTACATGTATTTTGTAACTTGTAAGTTTTAAATGAATTGCATTGACCACTTTGTCGTTTAGAAAAAATGTGAATTATTTTAATGAATGAGGGTGTTTTTTTTCTTTCTCCTTATTGTTTTAAGATCTATTCTCCAGATCACACTAACAACAGCTTTTCATCCAATCCTTCAACTCCTGTTGGCTCTCCTCCTTCTCTCTCAGGTAGTGTATTTCAAATCCCATTTCATCGTATAACAGTTTATGAGAATGATTTCCCCCTTATACTTCCTGCTCTAGTAGGTGGAAACTCACTTCCCACCAAATCCCAAAACTTAATGTTCCCGTCACAGACAAATACAAAGGGGTGAGAGAGACAGATTACCAGATAACAGTGTAGTCGTTTACATCCATTCATTTTCTTAAAAATTAGATTATCTTTTTAGAATATACAGGCATATGGAAAATGCATTTCTTACACTTTTCTTAGCTCTGCAGAAGACACCCAACAGCAGAATAATGTATTCCAATAAAACGTCTCAGATGAAAAAACTAAGTTAATATAGTCATGAATATGAATATAGACTATATAGTCATCAAATATAGACTATTTAAATGGATCATTTCCTGCAGAAATGTTAGGCTTTCCAAATTCCCTCTTTAAAGTACATGCCATTGGGATGTTTGGAGAAAACTATAATTTTGTAAATAAATTGTGAAATAGTTGTGTGGAGTAGAAGGGTTGCTTGACTTCAAAATATAACATATTCATGTGACTTGTGGCTTCAATTTGAATAACTCTAATTTTTAGAGTTAGGTCAGTAAATGATTTTATTTTTCAGGGATCCATTTAAGAGACTCATTGTCTTTCCAATATAAACGCTTCCAGAAAGCCTTCCCTGGTTCATGTCTCTGCTCTTAGGAAAGGGGACAGGTAGCTTATTAAAAAAACAAAACAACATCAACAACAAAACCTAAATCACATCTGTACCTGATGGAAACCTTACCTTACTGTAATGTAGAGTGGAGTCACTTGCCTATGTCATTCCCTGCGTGCTGCTCTCATGGCCTGGTGTAAACTGGGCTCCTTGGTTGAGAACAGGAGGTTCACATTGCCCCACACTTTCAGAAGTGTTGGTCACGGCTTAGCTGGGATTTAATATCAGCCTCTTCCAAGCCTCCATAGTATGGGAAGATCACAGAATAGAGAGGGCAGTTCGATTCTGAAGTCTGTATGTCCAGAGAGACCATGTTGAAACTGGGAAGCAATTGAGGTGATTTTAAGAGGATAACGAAACATTTCCCTTGGTGGCAGTAGAAAGTAGAGTTCAGTATTGTTGTAGTCCCCTGGTTCTGTACCAAATTCTTACACTCTGAAAAATGATTTCAAGTGTCAGTATTCTCCTTCGAGACAACAAGAGATAGAGAAATCTGAGCAGGTGGGACTCCAAGTTCCACATTGCAAACAAAGCAGCTTTCATTTTATTCATTTTCTAATTTAGAAAGAAAAAAATGTTCTATGGTATCATAATGTTTGAGAACAATAAAGGTAGTCTGATATCCTGATTTTACAGATGAGAAGATGGAGTCCCCAAAAGAGAGTTGAATTGTTGAGTTTATACCGGTCATAATAGCAGAGCTTGGACAAAAATCTGGTGCCCACAGTTCTGCCAGTCCACTTTTAGATTAATGGTGGGAATGAAAAATTAGTATGAACAGCCATTCCAGAAAACATCACAAATTCCCTCGACCTGAGTAGTGTGCTTTCGGTGAAAGGCACAGAAACAAGGCTAGAGATGCCACTTTTTGGGTCTTGGTAATGCATCATGGAAGACCACATGTTAGGAAGAAAGAACTTTTATGAAGATGCAAATATGGGGACAGATTGCTATTTTCACACCGACGGCTCTGTCCAAATTCTGTCAAGAAAAGTAATTGAACAAAATATTCTATTTTTATTTAGCATAAAAATACACATGCACACCCAGAAAAGACAGGAAGAGTGGATTTTAAAAGTGCTAACAGTGTCGGGGCATGAGATTTCAGTGAGATCATAGTTATTATTTTTTCCTTTTTTGAATTATGTATTCTCCAAGTTTTCTACACTGAATGTGTATTATTTTAAATTTAAAATATTTTTTATTTTGTAGGTTAGACATGTAATATGTATTCTAACAGCAGTCTTTTTTTATCTTCAAGTTTAGTGAATCATTAAAAAAATTATTTTCTTCAGAAGAAACTTTCAGTTGTCACTGTATATTGACCTTAAATTTCTGGCTTAGTTGATCACTGCTAACTAATCCTATTCCCTTAAAAAGTTTTTCAAGATTTATCATTTTAAAAACAAGTAGCAAAGCTGTTTTCCGTTGGGGCGAGAATTTTGGTTTAATATAAACTGTCCTTGCCTGAAGTTCTAACAAAATCCAATTTTTGTACCCTTAAAAGCACCTCAATTCCATAGTGATAATTTTTCTTCCACAGGAACCCTTCTAGCCAAAATTCAGAATCAATTAAATGTTCTCTTTTAGGAGACAGCCAGCATGGGGAATTGTGAGTCTATGTAAAGTCTACATATTTTAACATTTAAAATGTTTTCCTTGTCCCCAGATTCTTATATGGGAAGTCTACATGTATTCACCTTATAGATTAAATGAAAATCATCATGGCCATTTCCACAAGGACTGTTTAAAATATGGGCAAGCTTCTTTTTACCTGTGTCTAGATCTGATTGTAATTCCCATTTTAATATCAGCAGGCACAGCTGTTTGGTCTAGAAATGGAGGACAGGCCTCATCGTCTCCTAATTATGAAGGACCCTTACACTCTTTGGTATGTTTCATTTGCTAATCTCTGTTCCACCCATTTCCAAGTCATGTTCTTTCCTGTTCAGTCGCCTTTGTTCCCCAAGTTTCTGATTTTCCCTGTTAGTAACTTTAGATCAGCGTTAAGCACAAAAGCTCCCTGGAGCCAGAGTCATTAGGCTATGCTTGTTCCTATTTGGAGATGGGAACCCAGATACTACTGTAATGGAAGCCCAGGGCTGTAAATATCTAGTACCAGATAAAATCCTGAAAAGGCAATGGCCTCCTCCCCATATCTAGGAAAGATCTCTATCAATGATTAAATCACTTCCCTGCTATCAGAGTGCTGGAACTTCAGCCAAGTCTCATGCCTAGAACGTTTGATTCTGTCTACCTCTTCTTTGCTTTCTAGAATAACAGGTTTACAAGAGATTCCCTTCTCGTAGAAACCCAGTGATATCCTTTGTGGTAGAGAAGTGCCTACTCTTCCAGGAGGGAATAGCTGAAAATTTCCATGGACATAATTAATTATTATAAATACTGTCATGATGATTCAGTGTCTGACACTTTAGTTTTTCTCTACTCATGATGGTGGGGGCCAGAAATATGCATGGAACAATGCTCATTTTGCAGCATGTAGGCTGTACATGAATCTAGTGGGAAGGAATAGGAGTGAGGGAGAGGAGCCTTTTAGTTCCTCAGGGTTGAGTTTTTCTTTCCTCCCTCCTATCTTAAGATGACACGTGGAAGAAGGCATAGATTTATCTACCTGCCTTAGTGCTGTCTTATCTTCTACCCTTTCAGCTTAACCTTTAAGGAAAACCTAAAAAGAAAAAACAAAGGTGGATTTCCCTCCTTTGTTGTGTTCTTTCTTGCTATAGTGTATCAATCATTCAGCTATGCATTTTGACCAATAAAGGAAACCATACAGTGAAACATAGATGCACTACCCAGCCCAATTAATCTGCAGACCACATCCAGATAATTAGTTGTTTTAGCGTTTACCTTCATCAGTTATTCTCTGGAGCCTATTCGTCAAAACCAGGCTTTGTCCAACTATAGAACTGTAAAGACAAGTTGTATAGTTATAGACCACAGCTTCATTCTGTTTGAATTCTGAGCACTGAAGAAGAGATTCACAAGCAGAAACTGCTTTCTCCACCAGGAAGCTGTGAGCCAGAAATTGTGATAGGCACATGTATGATTTCACTTCCTGCGTATATTTATACTCAGAAGTAAGTATGTATTATCATTCCCATATTTATAAATTAAAAAACATATACTCCAAGAGGTTTAGTAACTTTTCCAAGATAAATATATAGCAAAGCTAGCAGTCTAGGGGAGGGAGTTTAACTCCCAAACCTACCAAATAAAAATGCTCTGCACCATACACTACTATATTAGATACACATTCTTCCTGTCAGTATACTTAGAAATTGTTTTTCTCTTGCAATTGAGCTGGTATACCTGTTTGCACAGCCCATTTGAAATCAGAATTGACTGTAGCATGATCTAGTGCAAAGAGTCATTAGATTTAAAATCAAAAGACCTAGATTCCAACTCTGACTTTACCATTTCCTGGCAGTGTGACACTACGTAATTAATTCATTTAGTGTCTTTGAGCCTCATTTTCATGTCCATATGGAATGGATCACACTGTCTTCCCTGCCTGCCCGTACTCATGTGAAACGAGGATCAATGAGATGGTATGTTTTAAAGTATACGCTGGAGCGTGGGATTTGGTATCATTATTGATCACAGTTTTTAAATGAATACATAGCTACATGTCATTTTTCTTCACTGAAAACTTTAGGCATTGTCTAGTTGTGAAAAACTAGGATCCTAATGGCAAGGATGAACAAAGGTTGGTTGGTATTTAATGGTTTAAAGTCATGAATTCTGTACTATAGTTGGGGCTTTGAAATCAGTTAGATGCCGCAGTGAACAGTTGATTCAAGTGTTTGTGATTCTTCAGTTTTAAAATCTTATATCAGTTTAGTTGACAGAATTTCTCTAACTTTTTCCTGTAACCATTTTGAGGCCCTTACATCCCACCCGCTGGTTTTGATGCCAGAAAGCCAGAAACAGCGGTTAAAAACTCAACAAGAAATTATCATCCGTATGCTTTTCCCTGTCTTTGATTTGGTACTTAGCACTGTGTGATATACCACAGGGAAGGCCAAAGAAATATACCTTCAGGAAAGTAATTTCGTTAAGAAACTATAAATAGGTCATCTTTTCAGTGGTAATTGTTTAAAACTCTTTAACTTAATGCCTGCCAGTAAGTTCCTTAAATTCAATGAATGTTTTTCTCTTCTGAAATAAATCTAAATTATCTTTCAAGCTAAGGCAGTACTGTATAGCACATGTATGTTATCATGTCCTGGAATAATTACTGAATTTAGTTTGTTCATGAAAAATAACACTGTAATTTTAACATTAACATGTTCTACCAGTTTTCTGAAAACAACACTATTTGCATTATTGTTTTAAGGAAATACACTTTATTGGAAACGTATTTAGAAACCTGCAGTGTGGTTTTTATCAACTGAAGTTTTACTTAGGTAATTTGGAAACGCATTTTGAGCTAAATCAAATTTTGCATCATTTGTTAACCAACAGCAAAGCCGAATTGAAGATCGTTTAGAAAGACTGGATGATGCTATTCATGTTCTTCGGAACCATGCAGTGGGCCCATCCACAGCTATGCCTGGTGGTCATGGGGACATGCATGGAATCATCGGACCTTCTCATAATGGAGCCATGGGTGGTCTGGGCTCAGGGTATGGAACTGGCCTTCTTTCAGCCAACAGACATTCACTCATGGTAAGTGATAAAATTTGTAGACTCTACAGTTATCATATAGAATTAGAATTTCAGGTATAAATACTACTGTTGCTGCTGTTTTTTAAAAAAAATCAACTTTATTGAGATATACTTTAACATACAATGAGCCCATTTCAAGTGTACAATTTAAATGTTTTAATGTATTCACAGGGTTGTGCAACCATCACCACAGCCTAGTTTTTGAATATTTTTGCCCTCTGCAAAAAGAAAAGAACCTCTTAGTGCCCAGTAAGCAGTCATTCCCCATACCCCCTACTTCAGCCCTTGCCAACCACTAATCCACTTTCTGTCTCTATAGATTCACCTATTCTGGATATTTTGAATATATGGAATCATGCAACATGTAGTGGTCTTTTTTGACTGGCTTCTTTTGCTTAGTATGACTGTTGCAGTTTTCCCATAGTTTGCCACATATTGAGCTTCATTCATTTTTATTGTCAAATAATATTTCACTGTATGGACATACCACATTAAATTTATCCATTGATCAGATGATGGACATTTGGGTTGTTCCCTCTCCTTGGCTATGATGAATAGTGCTTCTGTAAATATTCATGTTTGAGGTTTTGTGCAGGTAGATGTTTCCCTTTAGAAGTGAATTGCTGGGTCATTGTTGGTGTTTGAAATTACTCATTTTGGTGACCCTGGCCAAAGTGTACAATTGAAGTTCATATTATGATAGGACATTGCTAGTAATTCAAATTCTTGGTTTTTTTTTGAAATTAAAGAAGCCAAAATAGTGTCTGTCAATTCTGAGTCTGGGAGATAGAAACACATGGTATATTTATTTGTATACATACACTGTGTGGGACTGTGTAATTTAATAGAGTAGCTTTACCTCTACCTATTTAGAGTAAGTCTTTATTTGAATAATATTTAAGCAGATTTGTCCATATTACAATTGGATTTTATTTTTCCTCATTACTTTTGAAAAGATTTTGGAGATAATTCTTTTTGAGGATGTTTATGACGATTCAGAGGCTCTTCTTAATAAAATATTTTGATGACAATTAATGAGGTGACTAGAGTGGTGGAGAATGTAACTTGATGAGTGATTCTCTGTAGTTCTGCTCCTCACAAGTTCCTACCTGGTCTCTAAGCACCTTAGTGTCCTGTTTGTCCCTTACAGGCTTGTTAAAAGTTGCTTGGATGAAGGTCTATTTTCCATTATCACTGTAGCATTTCTTGTTTAAGCATGGTTTCAAAAGGAAATGCAAAATACGTACGAATTGTGATGAGGTTCTTTTAAGTTCTTGCTCGATAGTATTCTCCTGTCCATCTTTTTCGGTTTCTCTTAACGAAAGACTAAGTTTAAGAGCACCATTCTGAACGGTGTAGTATTGAAATCTGCAACCAATTTGAAACCAAAAATACTGGTTTATAAATAGAAGCAACTAACATCTAAGATGTGGAAAGATATTTTTGAATGCCAAAGTGAAATCTTTTTTCTTTGCCTTGACCTCTGCCCTAAAAATTCATCACTGAATAAAAATTGTTTGTATGTTCATGGCAGTTGCTGAGAGTTTACAAAAGGAAAGTCTAGATTTTAATTTAGCTTGGCCTCAGGTAATGTGTTAAATACACTTGGGATGCATATAATATGAGATTTTCATTTGTACAACTCTTTTATTTTTTTAACTACAGTGTTTAAACAATACTGCTTTTAATTAAGAAATCTGGCTTTATTAAAAGCCAGATCTGTGACTTATAACCATTTCTGTATATCTGCTCTTAATCAAGAGAAAAATAGTTTAATTTCTGTAGCTGTGTTCATTTTGCATATGTTAAACGGATGTAACATGCACCCAGGGCATTGCTTCAGAGACAGTCTTTTCCATAAATATGTAAAGTTTTTCTTAAATACCAGATGTAGGTTAAGTGGTTCTTTTAAATATTAAACTATACATAAATGCTTTTTGGAACTATTTGACCTTTGAATTGCCTTCTTTTTGAGTCTGATTCAGAGGTGGGATGGAAGGAAAAGACTAGGCTTACTTTGGGAGATGAGAAGTTGGACTGACCTCAGTAGAAGGGAAAGTGAGATGCTAGAATAGAATGGTAGAAAAAAGGAAATAGCCAATATTACACAGAAACCTCTTCGATTGGATCGCGCGCACACACACACACACACACACACACACACACACACACGTAATAAAGCCACCAGTTTTGCTGATAAGGAAAAGTTCCTGTTTTCTTATCTGAAGACATTTAATATTCAATCAAGTACAGCCACAGAGCCAGCCAGATGATAGCGTAACTCCAAAGATGTGGCATGTCATCAACCTGCTTCCCTTTGAACCAAATGGGGTTTTGCAGTCTCTCTTCTTTCTTCTTGAAAACCATTCAGTGAGTCCCCAGAATCTGAGCTCCTCAGCCTGAAACACTAATGTGTGTGAAAGAGATTGGTTTGGCCTATCTTTCCCGTGCAAACTGGTATGAATTTTAAAACAAAAACATAAGAACAAAGGAAATAGTTTTTGAATTTAATCAGTCTGAAGTTAGTCTTTGACCATTTGATACATTCCACAATAAAAAGGAAGTTTAAGGGGAAGGAGAATAAAACACTCACCCCCCCCCTTCCCCCCAACAACAAAAAAATTCAAGGAGGATACTGGTAATGTTTTCCACATTTGAATTTTAATACATGAAACAGGCTATAAAACTTTGGCCAGCTGCAGTAAATAAAGTAGCCGTGGGAGGTATGCACCGGAAACTTCAGCAGAAAGCACTGGTGAGAGTCTCATTCCCAACTACACACCTTCGTTTGTTGTTCTGGAGCGGAAGCGAGTTGCAGTAACTTGATACTTATCCCAGTCCCGGTTTTGTTTTGAGCACATCACCTTTCTAACTCTCCTTAGTAATTCCTTCTGATTAAAGAATAGGCAGCTTTGAATCCTCTCGACCTCCGTCCTCTTCTTGTTTCCTCTCTCTCCTCCTTCCAAAAATCAAAACAAAATGGCTTGATAACTTGGAAGGTGATATAAGCGTTTCTTTCTGCAGCAGCTTGAAATCGTGGTGGGGAAAACTGTGGTTCTGCCTTGGCTGTTATCTCATTTAATTGCTAACATATTGTCCTTAGCTTTTGATTCATAAAATGTTTTCCTTGGAGTTCTGAAGTAGGTCTTCAGTGATTTACTAAGTATTAGTATAATGAAAGAGATTTTTTTTCACAGTGGCATGGCTCATAACACCAGAGTGGATGTTTGTATACTTACAAGCTTTCTGGATGATATTATTCAGCTATGCTTCTTTCCTGCTCAAAAACCTTCCCTGGCTTTCCATTATCTACAGAATAAAGATCAATTCCTTAGCTCAGCATTTGAAGCCTGTTACCATTTACCGAAAGCCTTATGTTGAGCCCTTCCAATCTGCAACAAGTCTTCCAGCAAGACCAGGCTGTGCATATTACCAGAATTCACCCTGTATGTTTTCCGTCAGTACTTTTGTATCTCTGTCTTGTCCAGCCCTATCTGCTTATCTCTGTACACCTAATACTCACCCATTCTCAAAGTACTGACTCAAATCATTCCTCTTCCAGGAAGCCTTCCCTTGCTACCCCACCCATGCTAGCCATTTTTTTTCTCTACTCTTACAGCTCTATGAATCATACCATTTCTAGATATTTGTCTTACCCAGCTCTGCATAGTTGTGCCTCTTTTATGGGTATGACTCTGCCTTACCAACTATTGTAAATTCCTCAAGTCCCACATATTACATTTTGTCTCTCTCCCCCCGACCCCCGTAAATAGATCATCCATAGAAACAGGAGAAAAGACACGAAGAAACTAACATATTCTGAGTGCCACATGAGTTGGCAGCCCCTCTGCTAGGCGCTCCGTGTGCATTGTCTTAGGCAGTCTTCACAGCTGCCCAGTGAGGATGACGGTAGTGGCCATTTCAGGTGTCGGTAAAGTGAGCCCTAGGAGGTTTGAGCAGTTAGTCGCAAGTCACGCAGCTGGATTTAAACTCAAGCACATCAACTCCAAATTCAGTGCTCTTTTTTACTACCAGGCACACTCGCCATAGATTATCTATGAGAACACCTTTTGATAATTTATTTTAAATGCTAGGAGCCTGTGATTTTCAAACCTTGATAAGTGTTGATTGGCAAAAGAAGTTTCCAGGTATTCCATGGCGGGTTTGCCAGAGCAGCTCTCTACCCCAATGTACAGACAGAGAACTTTCCCTCCAATGTGGTGGCATGCTTAGATTAAAATTACCACATTATCTACCCACTTATTCTTAAACCGACATGTTTGTGCTGACTGCCTAAGAGGTGTGAACTCTCCCTACCAGGGTGCTTGAGGTAGAAAATTTTAAGTTATTTAGTTATTTTTCTTACTATAACCACCCACTTGTCCTCTAGAATTAAAGCAGAAATCTCTGCATGTAGGAGAATAAGGAAATAACCAGGTCTTCACTACCCTAGTTAGAAACTCTTAACAACTGGGGTCCCCTCTGTGCCTCAGAGACCTCCATGGTTAATCCCGATATTAGATTAAATTTTAGATTTCTTATAAATTATTGAAAGGGCAATTTTCCAAATACAATTCTGTCCGTTATTCATTCAGTATTCAGATCCACAGATGAGACCTGAAAAGAAGCCTTTCAAATGACCTCCCTAACCTCTTTTTTAACTGAGTAAGAACAAAACCCACATCAAACCTGTCTTTCTGTGACTCTGTGTGCTCCTGGTGATTTGTTGGTAGAGTCAGTGATTATGGGATCATTGAGCTAAAAATCCTCTCTACTATTCATATATTGCGTTAGGGTAGCTCTCAGATCCTTTTTGTTTAAAGCCTATTTATTCATTTCAATAACATTTATCCATGGTTACCAAGTGTAGGCTCTGTGCTCTCAAGGAATTCACAGACTAGTAGGAAAAGATGTGTATTTAAGCAGATTGTTGCCTGCCACTCTGCTATGCCCTCTGAAAGATCAGGGGCCCAGCTCTTACCCAGTAGTGAATGATTACA